GCTCAGGCGATCCTTCTGCCTCAGACTTCCAAGTAGCTGGAACTATAAGCATGCGCCACCATGCCCAGCTAATTTTTTCATTTACTGTAGAGACGAGGTCTCACCGAGTTGCCTAGGCTGGCCTTGAACTCCTGAGCTTAGGCAATCCTCTTACCTCCACTTCCCAAAGTGCTGGGATTACAGGCTGAGCCACCGAGCATGGCAATTTTTATAGTTTAACATTTCAAATTTAAAAATTCTTCCTCTAAAACACTTCCAACTGTCATATTCAAAGTTAATTCTACATATGAGACACTAATATTTACTCTAATGTGAGTGCAATGAATTTGACATTTATAAAACAAATAGCAGTACCAAAACCTAAGAAGTCAGAGTGATCTAAAGATGAGGATGAGAACACAATAAAAAATATCAGGACAATATTAAGAAAATGGAATACACTCTCTATCTATTCATGAGAATTCGTGGCTTATGCTCTTTCAGCAAACATAGAAAACCAGAAGAGAAAGAGATCATAGCTAAAAACATTCAAGAGGGATGAACAAATGGAGATGAATATCAGTGAATAACTGAGAAATGACTTGTCAAGCTAATTTCATACTCAAGCCTTTAGAGTTAGGGATATTTGGAACCTTACAAGAAATATCCTGGTGGTACTGGCTTCAGAATCGAGACTGGGGTTTGAGGTGGTGAGAAGGTAGATTTGCGTCAACAGCTGAACGTGCTGGGGAGGGAAAGAAAATAGTAGAGTGACATGTTATGATGTTGCTATCTCAGGACCCCAGAGAGAGTTTTTTTCTTTTGAATTGGAGTCTAACTCTGTCGCCCAGACTAGAGTGCAGTGGCATACTCACAGCCACCGCAGCCTTGACCTTCTGGGATCCTTCCGCCTCAGCCTTCCAAGTAGCTAGAACTACAGGCATGTACCACCACGCCTGCCTAATTTTTTGACTGATTGCAGAGACGAGGTCTTGTCATGTTGCCCAGGCTGGTCCTAAACCCGTGGGCTCAGGGAATTCTCTGGCCTCCACCTCCCAAGGTGCTGGGATTACAGATAAGTCACCGTGCTCAGGCCCAGAGAGGGTTTACTAAGATGCTTCCAACATTATAAGATTGATGTGCTGCCTACTGTACTAATGAGGCAAGTTGTTTACAACTTTATCACACCTATTTTGCTTCTGGAGAACATAGGATCTTGGCATAAACTTCTCAGACATGTTCCCTTGAGAAAAATGAAAGAACCACAGAGAAAGTTTAACCTCAAACCAGAGGAACTGATAATTAGAAAAAAGAAAAAAATGCTTTCTAGTGGTGAAGGCTGCTAAATTTCATAATGGATCACATTGGACTCTTAGAAATCAGTAATTCTGAATACTATTAGGGTCTTTGTGTGCTTTCTTGCCTGAGCGTTAAGGCGTGAACTTGATCACCTCTCAAGGTCCTAACTGATGTGAAAATCCTATGGTCCATGGTTTAACAGGTAGTAAGATACCTATCTCTGACTTTTATAAAGCTACAAATTAACATGATCAAGAAAAGTGTCTTACCTGCTGCATCTGCTGCTCAAGTCTCCTTCTCTGTGCTGCATCTAGAATCAGAGTCTGATGAATTTTCTCACTTTGGGGCTTAACCTTCACCTCCTGCTGCTGTTTGGCTGAAGATTTCTTCATTTTCAACAGTTCACATAGCTCCTTCACTGTCCGATGTTGTTCATTTAGTACATTGGCCAGTGGTTCCTCAAACCTATCCCCAACAGGGAGATGACTGAATTTGACTATTTCCCTAGGTCCACAACACATCCATTTTCATCTCATAGTGAGCTAAGAGAGCCTACTATTAATCCCCAAAACCCACTTTAGCCAACAGTCAAACTCCCAGTCTTATCTTCATCTTTTCCCGAAGTGGTCAGCATAGATTCAAATAAGATGATTGTGTATTATCCCTCACACCATTCTTCTAGTAATTACTCCTCTAAACAATATACACATGAAGAGGAAATCTAACAAAAGTCTAAAACAGAGAAACTTCTGGATGACAAAGCAGCCAAGGAGCTAGTGGGAACTCATCATTTGTATTTGTTCTCTAATTTAGCAGGTCCAGTTTGTCCTGTTTTCCTGTCCATTCAGGTTGCCCTGCCTTCATTTTGTAACAAGTCAAAGACCCTCCAACATAAAGCAGGAAAGGGATATACTAAAATACATGACAGTTCAAGTGAAAGTTAGTATAAATATTAAACTTCTGGCTGGGTGCGAATCACTTAACAACACATTTCTCAGAATGTATCCTCATGGCTGAATGATACATGATTATATTTCATTGACCATCAGAAGGTAACTGAATTCTAACACGAACTTTAAAAGGTTATACAGAGTTGAGTGGTGGAACCGAAAGATGTTTATGAATCAAATCCCATTATAAGTTGCCAGGACAAATGGTTCCACTCTGCTATACCAAAATTTTGTTCTAAGAACTACAACTTGAAATAAGTGGGTCAAATACTGACTCTTTGTAAACTTGACATGTTTTGCTGTAGTGGTATTTGTTGTAATGGAGTATGAGTGGTATTGCTAGTGCTTATATATAGGTTGGTATATCTTGTCTCTCTCACAAATTGGAATGCCTAGCTTTCCGATGGATCCCAATCAGATGGATCTACTTACTAATGCTGTAAAATTAAAACACAGGACTAATTAGAGGCCATGAGTCTGTTCACTTTGTTTGGTTCCACCTATGGTACAAACCGCATCTGACCTCCAGCCATTCATCAAATGATTGTTTGCTGCTACTCACAATGGACAGCAATAGAGTACAGATGCAAACCCACCACGAAAGTAAAGGAAAAAAATTAAAGCCTCTTCTTTCCAGATGGTGCAACAGAAATGCCAACTTCATGTAAACAGGTCAGTACATATGTTTCAGATTCCTTGATAGAGGTGCTTTGGGGTTTGCTCAACTAATGCCTAGATGACTAACGAATTTTCAGTAGCATCAAGCAGATATTAATGGACAATAAGGAGAACAACATACTTCACACTACAATTTGGGATAGGTTCTGTGGCTGACGCATGGAGTCCTACACACCTCTCCAGCACCGCTCACCTGGAGAAGCTGCTATGGATGCCAGCTACTGTTTTTTCTCCCTTCCCAAACAGATACAGCTTGGTCTATAGCTGCACTATCCCGTAACAAGGAGACATTGCACTTCACACCTAATTGCTCAAAAAGCTCTGCATCCTTACATTAGTAACAGAAGCTGGTTGGGGATGAAAAACTGTTAATTGCAATTTCTGAAAAACTTTTTAGAACATTTCCTCAAGGCCTTCAGCTAGCCTACCGTAGGCCTTCAGGGGTGTTAAAGGTAGGCCGAGATTCAGTCACGCATTCCTCCTCTTCAGGGCCGTTATCTTCTACCTTGGAGAATCTCATCTCATCCTGGAACTGTGGACCAAGGAAAAGGAACATTTGCCCAAGGAATAGGCCTATGAAAATCACTACAGGCCAGGTGCAGCGGCTCACATCTATTATTTCAGCACTTTGGAGGCCAAGGTGAGAGGACTGCCTGAGTACACAGGTTTGAGACAAGCCTGGGCAACTTGGCAAGATCTCATCTCTACAATAAATCAAAAAATTAGCTGGGCATGGTGGTGCATGCCCTTAGTTCCAGCGACTTGGAAGCGGAAGGATCAGCGGAAGGATCGCCTGAGCCTAGCAGATCAAGTCTGTAGTGGCCATGAGCATGACACTGTACTCCAGCCTGGGTGACAGCCTCTGACTCAAAAAAAAAAAAAAGAACACAAAAAACACAGAAAGAAAATCACTCCATCAGCAAGAAGTCAAAGCAAAGACTATAGATTACTGGACTTTAACAATTCTGGCACCCCAAAACAGTTCACATTAGAACTTTTCTTACTTCAGTACTCCCAAAGCCCTACACTCGGGATGACTATTACGCTAAGAAAAAAGTCTCTCAACCAGCCAACTTGTAATGGAAAGGACACAGCATGAATAACCCAAAATGATCAATCTGTTCAATAAAAATAACTTTCAAGAGACAAATTTATGAAAAAGGTAATTATGTGCACTCAGACTAGTCTGACACCACCTGACAATCTATAAGGACACACCAAATGATAAAAGAGGCCATCAAAATTTTGCAAGGAAAGTTTTACAAAGAATAACCTACATATGGAGAATCAAGAGCCTACTAGTTAGCAAAATTCCCAGGTCATAACACTCTGTCCAAGTAGACAAAAGGAGAATTGGTTTGGTCAGACCATCCTTCTAGACAGAAGGATCCCAAGGAAGAAAGGACAGATCTTGCTGAAGAATCTACTTTTATTATCCCAGTTCTCCTTGAGGATCACTACTCACAGTTTCAAAAAGCTCTTCCATCAGCTCATTTACTTCCTTTTCTGCAAAAAAGCCAAACAGTATGTTGTTGGCATAAATTAGTTTCATTTTGCAATAAGGAGGAATTCCATGAAGACAATGTATGCTGTTTTCAGCAAGGCAGCTAACAAAATCTTCATATGTATCCTTCATTTATTCACTCAAAGCCATTTATTGAACATTAACTATGTTTTGATTCCTGTTCTAGACGTTTGGGATACATGAGAGAACAAGAGACAGAGTTCTTCTATTCTCATGAAACTTAAATTCTAATAAAACATGCAGAAAAAGTGAACTAGATGATTTTTTTTTTTTTTTTTTTTTTTTGAGTTGGACTCTCACTCTGTCGCCCAGACTGGAGTGAAGTGGCCACTCCCAGTCACCACAGCCTCGACCTGCTGAACTTTGGCGATCCTTCCGCCTCAGCCTTCCGAGTAGCCAGAATTACAGGCGCGCACTACCACGCCTGGCTAATTTTTTAATTTTATTGTAGAGATGAGGTCTCACCTGCCCAGGCGGGTCTCAAACCCGCGGGCTCAGGCAATCCACTCACCTCAGCCTCCCAAAGGTGCAGGATTACAGGCTGAGGCACCGAGCCCGGCTGAACTAGATGATTTTACAATTAGGTTATTCAAAGTTGGTTTGCCTATCCAAACCCATAGAGTACTGGATGGAGTTAAAACACAAGTCTCCAATGGTGTATCAGAGGACCCTGTCTTTGGATCTAAACTATTCAACAACTTCATCAATGACTTAGATAATTCAAAGAACATATTTAACAAATCTGTAGATGACATAACACTGAAAGGGATTGCTAATCTAATTGAAGACAAATTCAAAATTCTGTTTTCTCAAATCAACTAAATAGAACATATGGGGATATATTTAAAGTTCTATAGTTAGGATTTTATTTTATTTTTTATTTTTATTTTTTTTGAGTTGGAGTCTCAATCTTTCGCCCAAACTGGAGTGCAGTGACCGCTCCCAGCCACCATAGCCTCAACCTGCTGGGCTCTGGCGATCCTTCTGCCTCAGCTTTCCAAGTAGCTGGAACTACAGGCGTGCACTACCACATCCAGCTAATTTTTTTATTTATTGTACAGATGAGGTCTTGTCAAGTTGCCCAAGCGAGTCTCAAACCCGCGGGCTCAGGCAATCCACTTACCTCAGCCTCCCAAAGCGTGGGATTACAGGTTGAGCCACCGAGCCCAGCAGGATTTTTAAAAATCAGTTTCTAAGTGCATGAAAAGGTGACATGGCATAAACAATTAATCCAAAAATAACCTACAAGTTTGGTTGACTTCAAATTCAATAAAGCACAGGGGCTCCAAAACAGTGTTCACATCCAAGAAGGTAGGCATATCACTGAGCTGAAACAGAGTCTTGGACCATGTCTAGAGGACTGTAATCAATTCTATAAATGTCCTTATCAAGAGAGTATAAAAGAGCTAAAATCCATTGCTTGAGGCCAGGAGTTAGGATTATCATCCTAAATAAATTCACTCAGAAACAGAAAACCAAACACTGCACGCTCTCACTCCTATGTGGCAGCTAAAATACAAAGTCACAAAGATGGAAATAATAAACATTGGGGACACAAATAATTAGAGAGGTGGGGATGAAGGGTTAGGGTTCAGAAACTACCTACGGGGCACAATGTCACTATCTAGGGAATGGACAATCAGAGACACACCCTACTACTACACAGTATGTCCATGTGATGAACATGCATGTGTACCCCTGAATCTAAAATAATTTTTTTTTTTTTTTTAGTTGGAGTCTCACTCTGTCACCCAGACTGGAATGC